TATATGTATATAATGATTATTTTAGAGATAAAGCCCAAATAAAGCTATTATTAAAGATACATAAAGTGCATAGTTTCTGCAAAAAGTGACAGAGAGTAGGAAATATTTATACTTTTTGTGTAAAAATAAATGTATATACATATGAAATAGTACAATAAAATCAATATTTATATTTAACAGCACAATTTTATAGTTTAAATAAACATTTTCTCATTTTATATAAATTTTTTTTTGAACTTGTTTACCCCTTATTGAAATAATTCTTTATCTAGATTCTAAATCGCGTCAGCGATCCTTTCTATGTCACTTTCAAATATAATACAAAAAAATCTATTACTCTTCGAAATTTTTTTATTTTGTTAAAAAATATTTGTAATACACCTGCCAATTTGAATTTTGAATGTCTACAATTATTATACAAGTTAGTGTAACTTGTAGTTATGTCTGATATGACTAGCTTTAGTGATATGTGTCGATTTTTTACTGTATTTAACACGTCGATCGATTAGAAATGTCTGTGGTAAAGATGGCTTATAATATAAGTCGCGGGAGTGTCGTTCGTTAAATTATGTACTCGTCTAAAGTTATTTTCGGATTTCTATATCAGGACGGAATAGTCGAACGAAGTGACACGAGTTGATAGAAGTCGCCGCGTGCAGAAATCTCTTTAATGCAAGCGTCCTTGAATACTAATAGGCGAGGGTATATTATACTTATACATCTCTTGATTTCATAATAATTTTATAGTAATATTAAAAAATTTATAAAAGCCGAGTATTACTATTATAGATAAAAAATTATGCAATTACACATTCTAATTGTAAATAATATTAAAAATCAAATATATTGTTTAAATCAGCTTCTAAGAATGTATGGATCGTATCTTGAAATTTTATCAAAAATATCAAAATTTCATACACTGTGTCATTATTACGTCTAAATATATGTGTAAAATTTGAGCACAATTCTTTTATTAGTTAAGAATTATTTAAGTCTTTGTTTGTCTTGATTTTTACATAAAATCGTGTTTACAATGCTTATTTGCAAAATTGAAGAAGAAATAACATAAGAATTAAATCAAACTTTATATTTAAATTGATCAAATAATAATAAATATTCGTGCAAAAATTTATTTTTGTGGATTCACTTTCTCGTTTAAAAGTTATTCATCTAAAATTGCAAAAAAAAATAGTTATTTTTTGCTGCATAAAACCATTATAAGCCAAATTTGTTTTATTTGTAGGTTGGTTTCAGAGTATACACGAGTTAAAATTATGACACTTTTTTAGTGATATTGGCTGATATTAGCTTATTTTGATTAATTGACTGATATTTTTAACTAATATTAGCTAAAACATTCTTAAGCAGATTCATACCTTTTGTCAGAAAATAAGTACAAAATAAGTATTTTGAACAAAAAGTTTAGATTTATATTTA